GACTTGACATTCCTACTCACAACCCTGCTTCCAGTGTCCAGACGAACAGCCCAGTTCCCTACCTTACGTGTGAATTTGGCTCTCAGTGGAATGTGAAATGTCTTGCCTTTTTCCTCAGTTCTTCTCCATAGGAACACCTCTCTTAAGTTTCAGGTAAGAAGAAGGAGGGCTAGTCTGCTGAGTACTGAAGGGAGTAACAGGGGGGATCTGGGTCACCTGCCCCAGATGTAATCTGGAAGCCCAGCTTGTAGACCATGCAGTTTGATTTGAGGGGCCTCCCTTTATGAGCTCATAGATGGGTGTGCCCTGCTCCCATTGGCAGAAAAGGTTCCTCCACCTTCCACTCACTAGAGCCTCACTGGCTTTGCATAAGAAATGTTCACGGAGTTGTGGCTGTGTTCGGTACTTACAAGGAAATTAGATTTAAGAAATGCACTCCAGAACAACTGTGCAAGTGCCTGTTTCATTCCACGTTCCCATTGTTGGCATGAGAGCAGCAGCTCTTCCTTGACACTGGAACAGCTGGATTTCACTCGAAATAAAGGTGTAGGTCACCCTTGCCCGTGAGTAGAGTTGACCCATGTGTTAGTCAGCCTTGCCTACAATTACAGCCAGCACACATGCAAGTCAGTTTTGCCTACACTTACAGCTGATCACACATGTTAAGGCAGCCCTACCTGGATTGTAACTGATCGTATGTTTTTTTTAATCAATGTGAAACCAGCCATGAACAAAAAATTATTTATTGTAAATATAGTTTTCCAGTACTGATTTGTGTTCTTTAAATCTTTAATAGGGAAGTTGTAAACATCCACCTACATACAGAATTTCTCTTTTTTAGATTCATTTATTTATTTGAAAGAGTTACACAGAGAGAGAAGGAGGGGCGTGGGGAGGAAGGGAACATCCATCTGCTGGTTAACTCCCAATTGGCCACAATGGCCAGAGCTGTGCCGATCTGAAGCCAGGAACTAGGAGCCTCCTCTGGGTCTCCCACAGAAATACAGAGGCCCAAGGACCTGGGCCATCCTCCACTGCCCTCCCAGGCCACAGCAGAGAGCTGGATTGGAAGTGCAGCAGCTGGATGCTGGTGCTGCATGGGGAGGCTTCCTACTATGCTATAGAGCCAGCCCCTCTGTGAACTTTTTAAGGAGTGTTCATGTGCATGGATTTCAAAGTGTTTTTACCAAAATAAATGTATCTTTTAATTCAATTGCCCATGAACATTTTAGAGTACACCTGTATGTATTCCATGAAATTTACTGCATTGAAGAAATTGAATAGGGAGTTTTGGGCTGTTGTTAAAATACATATAATACATCTCTGAAATAGACACACCGTGTAGAGCTATTTCAGGTTCATTGATCAGCAGTTCAAGAGATTTCCCATACAGCCTTGCATAGGCATAGCCTTCTCCATGATCAAATTCTCATTTCAGAGAATCCGAAGTCAGGAGCTAGGTTCCTCTCCTGGTCTCCCATGTGGGTGCAGGGCCAAGTACTTGGGCCATCCTCCACTGCACTCCTTTCATTGACTCCAACCAGATGTGGGGCAGGCTTCTGGGGTCTGCACGGCTCTCAGTGCACCTCCACTGGTGAATCTTTCATCTTCCAGTCCTCATTGATTTTGGCCTATTTGTTGATCTGCAGACATAAATAGGGACTTGTTAACAACCAATAGCATCAAATAACGTATGCCCCGATCCAAAATAAGATAACAAGTTATGAAAACAAAAACAAATGTGGGAGGATACTTCAGAGAAGTGAGTGGGAAGTGGAATTAAAAGGTAAGTTTATTTTAGTCCAAAACATTTTTTTTTAAATTCATGCATATGAAAGGTTCTTCATAAAGATCATGGAGATGCATGTTATGGAAAACACGATACATGGATTTTGAAATCTCAGCACTATAATAAGCTTATCTATGATTAAAATTTTCCAGGGACTTTTTTAAAGTTCCCTCGTATATCTAGGCTCTTTGGGGATCACAGCTAACCAGTTTATCACACGTGTGGTGGTTCATGTCTTCAGTGCCAGTCCAGGCAGTTTCAAATCCTCACCTGTTCAAGTCCCCCAGCCTGTTTATGAATTCACACAAAACACTGACCTTCTCCTTCTCTGAGTTCCCTGCTTCTTTATAATGTAATAGCAGGGAGTGTCTCACATGTTTGTGGAAAGCAAAGATGGTGCCGGTGTGCTCTTCACTGCAGTGATTCATACACTGTAAGTCTTGTCTGCAGGTTACACCCTAAACTCTTGGAAATCATTTTTTTTCTTACTTAAGGAAAATAAACTTCATGCATCTCATATATACAAATTTAGGAACATAGTGATTCTTCCCACACTTCCTCCCTCCAGACAATACTCCTACCCAGCTTTAAAGTGGAAATTTCTCTCCAGTGATGCTGAGTGCAACCTTCTTTCTATGTACAAAGAGTGTCCAGGGCCGTGTCCATTGAAAGCACCTGCTTCTTGAGTATCTTCCAGGCCATCACCATCAGCCCCAGGAACTCTAGGTGGGCAGAGCTTAAAGTCAAAGCTCCCAGGTACATAGGCCTCTCCTCCATGCTGTGCTGGATCCTGACCATGTTCATAAACACCATTTCCCCCATCTACGTGACAAGTAAGTGGATCAACACAAGCATCACAAAGAGAAAAGACTATGGATACTGTAACGCTGTCTTCCAAGACACCTTCACAGGCTCGCTCTTCTTGGCACTACTATTGTTGCCTGATGCTGTGTCCTTGGGGCTCATGCTCCTGGCCAGCAGCTCCATGGTGTTCATCCTGCACAGACACAAGCAGCAGGTGCAGCACATTCATGGTCCCAGGAATGCTTCCCCCAGGACTTCCCCTGAATCCAGAGCTACTCGGAGCATCCTTGCTCTGGTGAGCACATTTGTATTTTTTTTACGTGGTCTCCTCCACTTTCCAAGTGTATTTGGCTCATTTTAGTAAGTCCAGTCGATTGACAGTGAACATCTCTGCATTATTTGCTGGCTGTTTCCCAACTCTTAGCCCCTATCTTCTCATGAGCTGTGACTCCAGGGTATCCACGCTCTGCTTTGCCTCGATAAGCAATACAAAATCCCCCAACACTATCAGAAACATGTACCTTGTATTTGCTTTATAATACTTGTTGTACAATAGTATAGGCACAGTTATTTGGTAGCCATATTACAAGACCCTGTACTCATGCTTACACACATGTGTGTATGTTTGTTATCAAGCAATCATAGTAGGATAATATGTACTTAGGAATATAAAAATATTAGTCACAATAATAAACTGCTTTAAATCTACAGCCTCTTTTATTTGATATTTATGCAGTCATTAATTAATTGAATAAGTCACATGAAATTGATTTTTCATTTTTCTACTTTAAGCCTTATATTTTAGGTGCATATATTTACAACTGATTAAGTATAGTCAAACAATGTTTAACAGGAATAGTCTCCTTGTTTTAAAATAACACCTGATATAATTGAGATTGGATTTCTCTAATTACTGGGTGCACCGCTTGCCATTTGTTCAGTATTCTTGTTCTTTCTGCCATAACTTTTTCTTTTTTAAAGATGCATTTACCTATTTGACAGGCAGAGTTACAGAGAGAGAGAGAGAGAGATCTTCCATGCACTCCCAATGGCTGCAACAGCTGGGGCTGGACCAGTCCATAGCCAGGAGGTTGGAACTCCATCCGGGTCTCCCACGTGGGTGCAGGGGCCCAAGCATTTGGACCATCTTCTGCTGCTTTCCCAAGCACCTTACTCAGGAACTGGATAGGAAGTGGAGCAGCTGGGACTCAAACCAGTGCTCACATGAGATGTCAGCATTGAAGATGGTGGCATAACCCTGCTGAGCCACAATGCTGGCCCTGACATAGGGCCTTGATTGGAAGTTCAAATGGTCAGTTTTGGGGCCAGCACTGTGGCTTAGTAGAGAAAGCTGCCTGCTGCAGTGCTGGCATCCCATCTGGGCACCGGATCAAGTCCTGGCTGCTCCACTTCCAATCCAGCTCTCTGCTATGGCCTGGGAAAGCAGAGGAAGATGGCTCAAGTTCTTGGGTCCCTGCCACCCACATGGGAATACCCGGAGGAATCTCCTGGCTCCTGGCTTCAAATTGGTGCAGCTCCAGACATTACAGCCATCTGAGGAGTGAACAAGTGAATGAAGACCTCTCTCTCTCTCTCTCTCTCTCCCTCGCTCTCTCTCTCTCTCTCTGCATCTCCTTCTCTGTGTAATTCTGAGGTTCAAATAAATAAATAAATCTTTTTAAAAATGAATAAAAAACAAAATGGTCAGTTTTCTCTCTGAACTAATGAGATTATGAACTTTTTTTTTTTTTGACAGAGTGGACAGTGAGAGAGAGAGAGACAGAGAGAAAGGTCTTCCTTTTGCCGTTGGTTCACCCTCCAATGGCCGCCGCGGCCGGTGCACTGCGGCCGGCGCACCACGCTGATCCGATGGCAGGAGCCAGGAGCCAGGTGCTTTTCCTGGTCTCCCATGGGGTGCAGGGCCCAAGCACCTGGGCCATCCTCCACTGCACTCCCTGGCCACAGCAGAGGGATGGCCTGGAAGAGGGGCAACCGGGACAGAATCCGGCTCCCCGACCGGGACTAGAACCCGGTGTGCCGGCGCCGCTAGGCGGAGGATTAGCCTAGTGAGCCGCGGCGCCGGCCGAGATTATGAACTTTGATATTATGTTTATTATTTTCCTAAATATGCTTCTGACTGTTGGAAATTTGATCATAAAGGCATCCCTCTATTTTGTTAACTCTTTGTATTTTATTATTGTCACCACAGTTTTACTTTATTTCAGTATTGCTCGTAAAAGGAATTATCACTATTTACAGTGATAGTCCTTTTTTTTTTTTTTTTGGACAGGCAGAGTGGACAGTGAGAGGGACAAAGAGAAAGGTCTTTCTTTTGGAGGTTGGTTCACCCTCCAATGGCCGCCGCGGCCGGCGTGTGGCAACCGGCACACCGCGCTGATCCGATGGCAGGAACCAGGTACTTATCCTGGACTCCCATGGGGTGCAGGGCCCAAGCACTTGGGCCATCCTCCACTGCAATCCCGGGCCACAGCAGAGAGCTGGCCTGGAAGAGGGGCAACCAGGACAGAATCCGGCGCCCCGACCAGGACTAGAACCCGGTGTGCCGGCGCTGCAAGGCGGAGGATTAGCCTAGTGAGCCGCGGTGATAGCCTAGTCCTTTTTTTAATGACTTACTCTATAGAATAAAAGAAGCACCATCATCATAACATAGTGTTTTATAAAATTAGGAATGGATATACTATATAACTTTATTAATTACAGAA